GTTTCAGTAGAAAATGAGAGTTACAACTCCACACATGATGAAGAATCAAAAGAAGGTGGTGGCAATACAATGGAAGGCACCATTAGAGTTCATATAAAGGATGATCAACAGGATGCTACTCTAGACAACCCTTCACAGGCGGGTTGACTTCAGCGAGTTGAGATATCTCTATTTGAAGGCAGCGCCCGCGTTCACTTCCTAGGCCCTTCTAGATATCGTAGCTTTGTCGACAAAGGTGGAGAATGTACTAATTTCGCAGCTCAAAAATACGAGAGGATGGCGCCCTTGTGGAGAGGATGCCGCCCCGCCCACTTGGGTGCCATAATCTGCTCTGGACTAGCCTCTGAATGGCCCGCTTTCAAGAATAATGGGTTATGGAGCTCATATTATAGGTGAAAGTACAACCCAGTCCAGTAGTGCAAAAAGCAGAAAAAAAATCATGGAAAATGCCCTACATAGAACCCTATGCTGGCCAGGTGGGCGGGGCGGCCGACTCTTCACTAGCGAACGGCGCTATCCTCTCGCCTTTTTGAGATGCAAAACTAGTACATACTGCATCCTCATAGGGAGTGCTTTGATGTCCAGAGAGAAGAGAGGAGAAAGTCCACTCTCCAGGCGCTGGAAATCAGAACTCTTCTGCTCTCTTTCTTATCTCTGGACATCAAAGCCCTCCCTATGAGGATGCAGTGGAGCCCACTTGGCTGAGCAGTTCGCCCGACACCTTGGCGGCACCAGAGTGCCTTACGTTGCCTCATCCTGGAGAACAACTCGCCGACGGGTTGTCCACAGCCTCAGACTCACGTTGAGATGGATCCATGACGTGCCTAACAGAGCACGCGTCGCATGTTTGGCATGTAGCACGACAGAACCCAGACGCACTGGACCAGAGACCATACTGGCAAATCGCGATAGCGGAGATGAGGGATTCATGACACAGTTCGGCGACGGGGGGGGGGAAGGAGGATTAGGGACTAGTTCCCGGTTTACAAGTCTCACTCTGGTGAAACCTGTGAACTCTTGTGAAGCTGGAGCAAGCTCGTCAAGCCATCATGGTAAAACCTGTCAACTCGAGAAGAGGCTGTCTAGATGGGTCGACACGTCGGTGGGAAGTAGCAAAAGTGAAGACCCCCCCCTCGCCAAAGGGCCCGAGCTTACGTAGTGGTGCACATCACAATTTAAACTGTCAAGTCAACTTGATAAGCATTGTTAGGCTGCGTTTATACTTTGCGGCAGCGTAGCGTAGCGCTTCCAGCGTACGCCAGCGGCAGTGCCGAAGAGAGGATGCATATCGATCTAGCTTCACCAGCGTCACCAGCGGCACGCTAGCGTACGCCAGCGTTTCTCCAGCGTTTCACCAGCGTTTTGCTAGCGTTTGCAGCGGCAGGGGAGTAGAGACTATGGGAGAGCTGGAGGGTACAAAACACATCGATTGCGCGTCTCTCACTCGCCCTTAGTCTCTACAATACACATCGCTTCTGCGTCTCCGACGGCCACATAGTCTCTACAATACACGTCGATTCCGCGTCTCTCACGGCCACATAGTCTCTACTCCCTGCCGCTGCAAGCGCTAGCAAAACGCTGGTGCCGCTGGAGAAACGCTGGTGAAGCTAGATCGATAGCTATGCTTCCCGTGCCCTCGCTACGCCAGCGTGCGCTAGCGTGCCGCTAGCGCGCTAGCGTACGCCAGCGTGCCGCTGGTGACGCTGGTGAAGCTAGATCGATATGCATCCTCTCTTCGGCACTGCCGCTGGCGTACGCTGGAAGCGCTACGCTACGCTGCCGCAAAGTATAAACGCAGCCTTAGCCGGCATTGGGGGAGGCGGCTGGGAGATCCACCTTCTGATCATCAGCAGCGTCTTCGTAGCACCGTGGATTTCCCAACCCAAGTCGCACGATGCTGGACCGTTTTGGGGAGTTCTGCATTCGCTTCTGCCAACGATATAACTTTTTTGCAGGCTGTTTTGCAGGGCCCGAGAAACAGTGGTTTCGTACCAGGTATAGGCTTTGGTTTTCATTTCGCTTGTTTTGCCCTGCAACGAGAATGAAATTTTCAAGCAGCTTCAACAAAGACAAAGTCTCCGAGTAGCGATGACAAAGACTCCAAAGGGACACCGAATCATTCACCTCACAGTCCAGCAGTGAAAAACAAAAAGTGATCCCTTCGGCGCTCAGTTGCCATTCAGTCCGCTGTAATAAGATGACTTCTACTTCGCTTCCTATTGCCGACATAATTCCTAATTTCCTTTGAATCGTCCATCATTTGTAGAATTTCTGAATATTGAGAAATATGGTAATAAAATTTTTGTGGCTAAAAGGCTGAAGTACCATTTGAATACACTGCGCGCGCATTGACATCATCTCACGTATTAGGTTGGTGCATAAGTTCTTAGCCCCGACTTTTTCGTAAATATCTCAATAGCGAACCAACCTGAAGATTAGAGGTATGCACCACCATCCACTACTCGACGCCAGCGCTCAGGCAGCTTGTCGATTCCTTCCTTCCAGAACGACGGGCTGGGACTTGAAGAAGTCGTCGAGTGCCTTTCTGACCTGATCCTTTGTTTCGAACTTTTTTCCGTCCAGAGAGCGCTGCAGGTGGCTGAACAGCCAGTAGTCAGAAGGAGCGATGTCAGGGCTGTAGGGGGGGGGCCGCGATCATAGGCATCGCGTATTCCGCTCGCCTGGGTCGCCTTTGCGGTGTGAGGTCGGGCGTTGTCATGGTGGAAGCAGATTTCCGCATTCGATCCACGAGTAGGTCGACGTGATCTTTCAATTTGCGCAGCTGGGTAACATAATGTGGAAGCGCCGGGATCGTTCTGTCCCCTTTCTCCAGCAGCTCCCAGTAATCCATGTCTCTGGACACAACAGGACAGAACCTTTTTGGGGTGAAGGTCGGCCTTTGGGGTGGCTTCTGGCTGTTCTCCTTTGTCGACCCACTGCCGCTTCCTCACAGGGTTATCGTAGAGGACCCACTTCTCATCTCCAGTGATCATCGAGTTGAGAAAGTGGAACTTCTTTTGTGAATCGTGAAGCAAAACCAGGCAGTGGCGCAGGTACATTTTGTCACAGTGGAAATTGTGCGACATTGTGGCCTGCAAATGCAAGGTGGGTGAGTGATAGCTAGTGTGATAAAAGAGTATAGTGCCCACGTCACGCACACGTGATGACGATATACCAACATCCATGCAAACGAAATACGGAAGGATCAAACACGTGGCTAAGAACTTATGCACCAACCTAACAGTAGGTGGTGAAGAGAGTTATTACGTTTTTCGATCTCGAACTTCAGATGAACACTCTCGGCTCCGAGGCGCACCCCGAGACCCAGATTGGTGGGCATTGGGGCTTGAATACAGCGCAGTTCGGCTTGCTGTGGCAGCAGGTCGTTCGGTGGGTCGACTGCGCTGTACGACGAAGCACGTGAAAGCCAGGGCACATTGTTGTCGAGGGTTTGCGAACAGGAGGGTTATATTTGCTCGTTGGTGGGAGGGGGTCGTATTCCCCTTCTGAAAGCGGTTGCTCATTTTTCGTGATTTTTCCTGTTTCATGTGTGCTACATACAACATGAAAAAATGGCTTAACCATTTCGCAGCTCTATATCAAGGCACATCGTTGTTGGGGAATCCCCAACGGGGAGTCGTATTTGGCCGCCAGGAGAGGCGGGGGTCGTACGGACTCGACTAAAATCCTCCAACCAATGATGTGCCCTGCTCTATATTGTTTTAGGTGTCACCAAAGTGAGACCTGTCATTTAATATGAGTTAGCAAAAGAAGAAGGAAAATACCCCTCTGAGTCAAAGAGCTTCTCAAATGCTAACGGAACATTGGTGAACAAACTAACAGTGACGGAAAAGGAGAAAAACGTTGGGAAGAATATGTAGAAAAATCATGCCAATTATAATCAAGCTCGTCCTGAGATTTACTAGCCCTACAATTGCAAAGGAGCGCATATTGCACCGCATAAAGATTACAGTTTTATTTAATGTATGTAACTATTTGTTACTTCCTTTGTATTGTGTAAACAGGTCCGGGCGGGGCGAATCGGTGCCAACGTATGATGATTAGGCTTGGCAGACGGTGTGCTAGGTTCACACCATGGCCCGAGACGAGACGTGAGCGGTTAGAATGCGTTCAGACTTTGCGACTAAGAGCGGTATCAGGTTTCTCGAGCTTTTGGGATCTTTATTGTCAGTATTTTGGTAAAGAAAAAGCGCAGCTATCGAACAGCGCCTAGAACGCTAATTCTCACAGAACTATTCACTCAAAATGCCAACTCGCTCGAAACGCCGTCGCAAAGTATAAACACAGCTCTACTAAACGATCACAGTGTAAGCGATCGATTGCCGAGTTGGATACACAGCGTTCTGTTTAGCATTATAAATGATTATTGAAGTCTCAGCAACTGTGAAGGATCTATTTTTACCCATGTAGCTCACAGATTGTGATCTCTAGAACAGGACGCAGGCGGTTGCGAAGCGGTATCAATGCAAAACGGCCCATCGATAAACAGTGCGCTGGGTAGCATCACAAAACAGAGACCACCATCACCTACAATGTCCACACATCGGAGATTTCGCAGTCCAGTGACCCGTTGCTACCGTAACCCACGCCGTTCTTGGAGTCCTTCCCTCTTAGCCTGGTAGACGAGCCACAAGGAAAAGTATGCAGAAAGTCAATAAATTGATTACCTGCTGCTGCTGTCAACGAAATCCATGACCCATGTAAAGATTTATGAAGCACATTTTTACACGTAAAATTTTTCCTAGTAAACAACTCGAAACCAACTCTTAGTATACTTTGAAAATCCGTAACAAATATAACTGTATACTGTAATCCAATGAGACAATACCATAATTAAGATAAGTTATCACATATTATTAAGACTTAAGAGCGCTAATATAAAATATCATCTACTCAGTTGGAACTCATAAACACTCATATCACCTCGCAAATGTCGACTGCGCTAATGAGAACAGCGACTTCAGCGCTGGCAAGAAGACAGACACCTGAAAAAGAAGCGAGTTAGTGGTGTAAGGACAAATACATCGCCTTTCAGATGACGGCTGGTTACGATAATTTGACACAATAGGCCAAGGAAGGCCCCGAAGTAGGCTATGTCGCGTTCAGTAGCAAAGGGTGCTCTCACTGCGAGTTAAGCAGGCTTCATACTGGAGTACAACTTTCGATGAAGCACATCATTCCGGAAAAGAATGCACAAAATCAAATTTGACTACTGGAGACTGCTGCTAGAGCTTCTTCGATTCGGACGCAGGTAACAACTCCATCTCTGAGAGACCGTTACAGTCTACTTGTATTTTTTTTCTCCTGCCATGACCTCATTACCTGCACCTCTGCACACTATCCATCCGTCTGAGGGGCTAGGTTTAGCGTGGCACCAGCTCATTCTTCACCAACTATTGAAAGCGGGCAAGCGACAACAGCTGATAGGTACGTGCTGTCGCCGCGCGAAATCTGGCTCCTCCTACTTCCCTCCACGAAAATGACTATAGCTCCTTCAGACGAACGAAATCCAGCGTCGGAGCGAAAACACTGCCTTATTTCAATGGCTTTTACATGGCGCCGTTTCGCTTGGGCCCTGCTGACTTTCCGCATATCCCGTGGCAGACTACATTGGCGGGAACCGTTTTTGCTCTTCATCTACTGAATGTTCAACTAGAAACTGAAATCAGGACATGTCGTACTTCGCGGATTCTCACCGAGGTGGGAAGGGGGGGGGGAGGTAGGGCATGAGCGGGTGGCGTAGTATGTGGCCGCTGGAGGGAGGAGGAAAGTCGTAATGGCCGTGATTCGAGAAAAATATTTTCGGTTGTTGACTTTCACTCGTTTTTCTTGTTTCAAATGCTTTTTGCGCTCCCGTTCCTCTCCCGCTCTAAAAGTGGTAGGAAGTCAGAGGAAGATCCGGATAAGTTGGAGTAAGTTGGGGAAATTCAAAAAACTAGAAGGCAGGATGGGGAATGAAGACGCTTGTAGAGGGGGATCCTATTCTGCAAGATTCTTACCCAACTTCAGGACGTGCTCTGACTGAAACCACAGAAGACGAATCTGGTGCAAGGAAAAAGCGTGCTGCTCACTACAAAAGGAATTTGTTCTGTGACAATCTACTAACCCACACCAACTATAACCCATAATCTTTTCAAAGACGTTTCACCAGAAATAAGAAAATGCACCAACCTCCACGAAGTCTCCTCCTGATCGGACCAAATGTCCACATGTCGCCACTGCTCCACGGTAATCTCCATGAGATGATTGCTCAGAACATTGCCACAATAGCTTACGAGTGGCGAACCCTAGCTAAAATAGCCAATCGATAGAACCTTACCAGGGCTTTGTAGTCAAAACTACCCTAAAATGAGCTTTCCATGGGAGAAACTTCAAAAGTTACGAACCTTTCCTGAGGCCAGCCTCGGAGCAAGTTCACATCCTAATCGAGTTTTTGCCTCTTCTGCTTTATGAACTGCGACCTGGAAAACTACTACCTTCAGAAAAAACAATTTGATCCCTCTAACTAATGAAAATAACTTACCGGCGTGCGATTAACTGAAAGGATGGAATTGATTAGTTGGTGGAATCGGTCCATAATTAGCTGATCTTCCGGTGATAAGACTACCTGAAAATTTAGAGGTGACATGAGTAGGAGTAAACTCCATCAAAATTTGCTCCCTCATACTCCACCTGTGGTATTTCGCGATGTTCTTGCTGATGATGTGTAGAAGCGCTTGACGGTGGTCGCAAGGGAGCACCGCTGGCTACACCAGGAAGACCATTGTTAAGAGATACTGGTGGTTGCTCGAGTGGTTTCCAGTTCACCTGAAATCAGTGATCTTTGCGAGACAGAGAAATCTCAGGGCTCAAGAAAAATGGGAAAACGAATGGATTGTGTGCTAGCTGTGCTCCAATCAGGGCACGTCCTGCCTCTAGAAGAAAATTCGCGAAGTACGGCCTCCCCAGTTCTCAACAACAACCAGAAAAAATTTTTCTCGGCTCGTAAAACTTTTCTCGAAGGCAAATATGACCTCCTTCCCCTCTGGAGTTCTCCCAATAATGTAGCCAATCATACACGAAAGGAAATACAAAAGAGCAAGCCGAATCAATCTGATCAAACCTTCCCAATCTACCGCAGAACCTAGCAGTGGGGAAGAAACTAGTAGCAGGGCGTTACCCTAGTGTTATTATCCTGCAAACGAAACGCCGCGCGAAGTGGACTGGATTGGAGCCGAGCCAGGGCAGCCTTTTCCACCAATTGCTGGCTGGCAGCACATGACGGCAGTCGGGGGGAAAAGTCTTTTTTGATGCGCTCGGATCCAAGCCAGCCCCCCGCCCTTCCTCACACGCCTTTTCTACAGGAATGTCAACAGTACCTATTGCAGACTTGGGCCAAACTTGATAAACTCCCTAGGAATTTGCATGTTTCGCTTATAGTACGGCCCAGAAGGGGTATGTTACTTCGGTATGTAATTAGAATTAGGGAACGCGTTTACTCCACCCCTTCTCTACCCCATGAAGCGCGGCGGAGTGCACAACATCGTTAGAATACCTCGACGACAGAGGAATAGGACGTACTTGTGCCACCAAAACTTTTCTTCGTTGATTTTTCAACACTCTGCTTGAGGAGGGGTTTACCCCATCAACTCTCCTACCGGCACAATCCAACTGAATCTAGTGGTCGAACGGAGATCTGTCCAGCACGCACCTGCAGGGCACGAGCTCCTCTCACAACGACGAGCAAAAGCGACCCCTCCGCAACGAGAGTCTCTAAACGATGTGGATAGTGCGCGTGAAATAGGAAAAATCGACCAAAGAATTGTCGCAGGCCATTACGATCACCTATCTCTTCACCGGCCAAATACGAGCACCGCTGGGGTTTCCCAATGTACGATGTCCCCTGACCTGGTTACACGAATTTTGGTTGGAAATTCTGTTACGGAATCTTTCTCATCGATATGATGAGCCCTGGTTGTCTACGGACAACTTGAACTCGAATCCCTTTGAACGTGTCGATCTTCTTCTGCACTCACTCCTCCACATGGCACTCTATGGCCGTTGTGACTTCGCTCACTCCAGCTTTTCACCGACTGTAAGTAGCTCACCCACCCTGGAGTCCCCTGCCCTCTATCCGTCTGCGTCACAGGGTTTCGTAACAGGAACCATGCACAAAAGTTCAAGATGTCACGTAACCGCGCGCAAGTGATAGCGCGTTCATAGTCCGCTGAGACTGCGAAGTATAAACGCGGCCCGAGGTCATCATTTGATCCCCCGACTAAAAAGCATTGCATGATTTTCATGCGATAGACTAACTTCGGAATGTTGCCAACTTCCTCTTCTGCTCCCCACACAACGTACCTCAAATATAGGAGCTGCTGCCGGAGTTGTACGCGCAGTAAGCGGTGGTGGATCGTTCCATCCATGAGTGGAAGATTCCTGAAATGAAACAAGTCAGAAAGAAACGAGGATTTTTGCAATTTAGGCGCTGTTTGGCTTGGTAGGGGCATTCCATACTTGCGTTAGTTCCCTTTGCTAGTACATGCCAATTAACAACTTAGACTTTCGCGAGGGCTGTAAGCTCCTGGGAAGCTGCGAAATGGTATAAGCGAGTCAATGTGGTTACAGAAATTCACAGGTCTTCACAGGGTGACCTGAATTAGCTTCTTTAACCAGCATCCGCTGCTCCCACCAAGCCGTACTGCGCCGCAGTTTTATCATACCCATGAGCTAGTAAACGGACAAGGAATCCTAAGGAGTATATAAATTCATTTAAAAGAAACAGCAAAATAAGGGATATCTTACGTTATCGCCACCACTGCCTCCAGTTGGCGAAACGGTCGAGCTCTTCTGGAAGTCATCTGTTTACATTACAAGTTCAATTACTGTGAAGTTGATCTCAACCGCTCACCGAGGAAAACTCCTGTGCTGGCACGGTCGAAGGCGAAGGAGCATAACCTGCTTGTGGAATGTTGCTTGCATAGTTATAGTTAGCGTTAGGCACATTAGAAAACGAAGCAGGGACTACTGGTGGGGGTGGTATAGGAGCTTGAATTGGATTAAAACCAGGCACTGCAGGTGGTTGACTGTTATACATCGAAGCAGGGGTGAACGGCTGGAAACTAGGGACAGGTGGTGGTCCAGGTATGGGTGGCGGTGGGGTGGGGACATAACCAACTGCAGGAGACTGCTGGTAACCGGGAATGGGTGGGGGCAGCGGTGGGGTCGGGGCGTAACTGGAGTAGGTCTGGCTCGGGAACGCAGGTCTTGGCTGCATGCTCTGCATGGCATTGTATGGTTGACGATGCTGGCCTATGAGCGAGAATGCCGATGGTGATGATACTGAAGCAGTCGAGGCGGGGGAGAACACAGGATTCCGTTGTTGAGAACGCTGAAAATTATCGATATAGAAAAGTTATTTTTGCACTTCGGCCATCTCATTAGCACGTGCTTACAGAAAAATCAATGGATATCATTCTCAAAATCAATACTTCGAAAGTAGCGAACTACTTGAACCATACCGACGGATAAAGAGCATTGTTGATAGCCTGGATGTGATCGCGATGAGGTTTTTCCGGTTCCTTAGCCATCGTGCGCTCTTCTCCACCACATATCTGGAAGAGGTCATGGCGAAGCGCCAAAAGTCGCTGAAATGAAAACTGTTCAATAAGAGGTAGAAGAAATCCAGGTGGAAGCAGAAGAAAGAGGCTGAAGTTAGTATAAATCGTACTGAAAAAAGCACCTCATCCTTTAACTTGAGATTGCTCAACGTTTTCCATGCAAAGTCACTAACTCCACCATCAATAAGTTTTTCGCAATAACTATAGAGAAGCTGAAAAGAGGTCAATTAGTAAGAAACAGAAAGTAAACTGAAGTCAAAGGTGGTGGTTCTCTGGGATGCGGCCCGCAATCCACTTTTCAATTGGAATCCCCGTAACTAAATGAGATGTGGCCTACACAGAGACTCAAAAGCAATCCGGCGACAAGCTAGTGTTCTTATGTCCGAACTAATCTCGAGCGTATTCCGGCGACAAGGGGCATTTTGCACTTTTGCTACTTCCCATCAACGTGCCGACCTTCCTAGACAGCCTCTTCTCGAGTTGACAGGTTTTATCATGATGACTTGACGAGCTTGCTCCAGCTACACAAGAGTTCACAGGTTTCACCAGAATGAGACTAAACCGGTAGGGAAGTGGGGAAGCAATGAAAGTAGAAAATCCCCCCGTCGCCGAAGTGCCCCCCCCCCCTTAGCCTTGCACATGCCGAGGGCCGTTCTCTGTTGTGGGTGCAGTCTGTCTACGACGTCAGAGTGCCATGTCGAGTCATCTAGCTAGGAATATTGGTTTGCTTGCGATAGCGCCCCTCATCGATCCTCATTCTATACAGGGGCCACCGGGTTCACGGCTTGATTCTCGCAGACACCTTAATTAGCGCTGAGTTATGAGTTACAAATTCGTACCTTTTCAAATTCTTCGTTCATAGTGGCACCAGTTACGGATCGCAGTACTATCGCTTGCTTCATTCTTTCCTCTGAAACAAACAAATTAATCATTATACAGCAGCTCCACGCTGTACTCACACTTCATACTACCCACTGAACGCTATACTTGAACAGATATTAGAGACAATTCTCGCGATCAAGTGTTAAGGGCAGTAGGTGCTCAGTCATGAACCAGAAGCCGATACCTAATTCCCCAGTAGAGAAAGAAGCGAAAAAAAACCTACGAACCCTTTGAACCGAGATTACCCTCAGCAGTGGGGCCGGCGCCTTGGGCGAGTTTGTCGGATGTCAGCAAGCCCAATCAGCAGGATTCGACGTGCAACCATTCCCGGCAAGAGCACAGGAAATCACCCTACGACGCTCCAGGCAACGCTATGTACACACGCAATTCCGCTTGTAAGCCGTTGTCTTGCAGAGTGAAAGTAATCGTGGTTGCAATGGTTGCAATAATCACGCGTCTCTAGCTTCTTTATTTCGCTGCTCCGAGTGACGAAAAGGGGTGCGTGCGAATGCAGACTACGATGTCAAATGCATGTCAAATGCACGGAAGCGTTTCATGGACCACTTAATCTCGGGCACTGTCTTTAAAGCGCGTAATACGAATAAGTCCTTGGAAACATAAACCTAACGGATGGTCTGAAGGGTGAAAGCAGTAAATCACTATAAGCTTTATAAACATCAAACCTAGAGAATAACAGCGGTTTGCAGCCAGAAGGAGTCCAACGTCTTGCGCAAGGACTGCAGCGAATGCTGCATGAACAGAGTCCGGTCCTGTAACATCTATGATGAAGTGAGATTCAGGAATAGAATGAGTTAGTAGTCACAACAAAATGGCAAGGTGGAAAGAATGGATCAGTAAGCAT